CACTATGAAAATGAAAATATCACGACCAAGTATGAAAGATTTATTAAATAACTACGAAAAATGTCTTAGAAAAAAAGAAATAACTAAAAAGAATTAAGAAAAATTCGAAACCCAGGAAAAATTATGAAAAATTATAATAACTTCATCACAAAGTCCCTGGACTAACCCACAGATGGCGCCACAAGTTAAAAATCCATATGTCCCTTCAAAAGAAATGTCAAAATTTCGTGACGTTTCGAATTTATTTCAGTGTTTAAACACTGTTTTTTGATGGATAAAAATACCGTTCAAGCTCTGCAATGGCTTGAAAACAACAGTTTAAAAAAGCTTCATTATAAAAAATGCAAGTATATATTTTTCCAAAATTATTTCAACGCCAACTTACGCACGCCCCTGGCGAGGCTGTGATACTTTCAATGATAAAATACGTATTGATATTTTAATTCATTTCGTCACCCAAATTTCACTGAAATATCTAAAGACGTTATTCCGAAGAAGCTGAAGCTTCAGAAATGAGGCAAAAATATAATTTTAAAAGAAATTTTATCTTATTTTCAAGTAGCTATAACATTAGACAGTAAAATAACAAAAACACATAGTCTAACAAAAAGTTCAGGAACAAGTAGGACTAAAATGACTACTGATGTGATATTAACGAGCGATTTTGAGTTTTATCACACGTTTAATCCAACTAAATTAAATTGATAAAAACTGTAATTTAATGCTAATGTACATGTAAGCTTTTAATTAAATTAAAGTAACATGTTTTGATACGAATTTCATGAAGGAGTGCCTTTGTAAATATTAAATCCCTTTAAATTAAGTTAGGATTAGTTATTATATACATACATTAGCCTGGATTAATTTAAATATTCATACGTGCAAGATTCGTGCTGTAATTCATTAAGTGGGAAATTTATGTAGGAGTGAGTGGAGTGCCTGTGTAGAAAAATAAGCTTTTAAGGACATATTTTTTAACGTTACACACACTGGTAGCATAGCAGTTTGCTGCCAATTATTTATTAGATCATTAATTTTCATTTGTTTTTTTAAGAGAAACTTCTATTTTGACCCAAAATGGAGTAACCATAATCATTAATACGGAGGACACTAAGATTTAGGGATTCTTACTTGACAGTACCAACCCCAACTTTTAAGGATTGTATCTCTTATTTAGTTAAAATTTAAACAAGCCATTGTTCTGACGTTTTGGCAGAACTATGTTTTTCAGAATTCAAATATAACTCTTAAAAACTAGAATCCTTAAAAGTGTATGTATACTGTTATTGCCTGAACTAAATAATTTCTTTGCGTGGCAGTGGCGTAAATGAATTTCGATTTTAAAAGCGTAATTCGTTGGCGCCCGCATAAAACACTGAAAATAAAATGAGCCTTTATGCAGAACATTTAGCACTAAAAGCGTCAACTTTAAAAGCTTTTAATAAATCTTTTTAGTTTGAGCGCGTTCGACTACATCAATATTCAGATCAGTTAGCAGAATGCGGTCTCTCTAAAATGAAATCCAATCGGTACGCGACGCGGTAATATATTATTTCCGTACTAATTCTTGTCCACTTGGCTGGGGGATACGTCAAATTCATTGTAAATGAATAAATAATATTGATTACGCTAAGATTTAGCGATTTTTAGATGTCAGTACCAATCGTGCTATGTTGGTTGCCTAAGCTCGGCTTATCATTTATGCATTTGATCCCAAGAACTTTAGCTCCATTATTATACTTTTCTATCAAGTTGGCAACTCTGACGTTTAACCACGCGTTTACCACGGCGCCGCTTCCGTCGCAGGGTCTGTATGCACAGCGTACGCCGTCCTTATCTAAAGCAGACGACAATTCGTTTATCAGCGGTAGTGTCTGTCGCATTCGGTATTATCTTTGGCAGTCCTGTCGCCGCTGCCTACTTTAATCTGCGAACGTACACAAAGGCGCCGTGAGCCGTAATTGCCCTTCGATGGAACTGGAATCAATTAGGGCGGTTAATTGGACATTAAAAAGTTTTAAAGGACCTGACTCGGTCAGGCCAGTAATTCATTCCCAGATTCCGGTCGTTTCCGTTAATATATTCTGCTCCCGATGAGGCATGGGTATATGATTTTAATATACGTAATGTTGTTGTGAAGAGTATATAGTCTGTTTAGAAATGAAAGAGAGTAATAAAAGCTTATGTATGCAAATCGTAAATAAATGTAGTAATGGTGCTTATATTCAATATTTTTATAATTTATGTATTATCGGTATAGATGAGGTGTAATTTTAAAAAAAGTTTGTGTGATCGGGTTGTACTAAATTGTAGCAGGTAGCTAAAATTTAATCCCCGACAATCGGTCTTTGTCTATGCCGCTTCAATTTCTCTCTTATAAGTAAACAATATAAAAACAGCATTTCAAAACATGAGGCTACTTTAAGCATCATAACCGGGTTAAGAGGGTTTTTAGTAATTCAAATAAAATTATTCAATATTATTATCAAAATATTTATTTAAATTTAATGAATAGACTTTTATTCCACACAAAAATATATGTATTTTGAAAATTCAAATTATGGTGAGTAAATGTAGTGTTGTATAAATAAAGAAAATAAAAAAGTAGGTAAATTAAAATTCATCCTCTGAATATTCTGATGAATTATCTTCGTCTCCTAGATTGATAACGATAGGTTCCACAGTAACGTCTATTAAATTATCGAGTTCCCACATTTTCTCCTCTTCTTTTTGTACATGATGTATACATCTTTGCCAGTTATCTGCAGTTACTCGTTCCAAGGAATTTTTTAACAAAATTTTCACGTCACTTAATTTAAACGTCGTATTATTTCGCGCTACATCTCCTTTTACCTGCGCCCAGACTAATTCGATTGGGTTAAGTTCATAGTGATAAGGTGGTAACCGTAGTACCGTTATTTGGCGATTTGTTGCCATTTCATCGATAACATTAGTGTTACCAGATAGTTACCTGAAACTAAATATTACCACGCCCATGGCCGGTTCTTATCTCGGAGTTTTATTACTCTCTTTCATTTCCAAACAGACTATAGTATACAGTGACGTTACTACAAACTTTATGAAGCCTCTCATCAAAATAAACAAAAAAAGGAAAACATTTTTTCTAAAAGAATACCTTAAGCTTTTATGATCATGCAAAAATGGTAAATAACCACAATTTCTGTTGAATTTACTGAAGAAATTATCTTGACCTAAAATTTAAATACAAATCTTCCAGAGGTGTTGGAATGAGGTGGACTTTAAGGGATTTTAACTGTTAATTAAATTATTTGATGTTGAAGACAGTTTTCTTTTACATATTTACCATTCCCAAAGAAAATTTAATTGGTTTTACATACACTGTAAAAAACGCAGATAATATTGTACATTAAATTTCAGAACCTCCCCCCCCTCCCGCACCAGACGCCACTGGTGTTGAGCCTGATTATCCCATTCTTTTAATAAAGGTCTAATCTTGGCTCGTACAAATCTGTTACCTAAGTGCCGCGACAGGTAGGCTCAGAAAAAAATTATGGGCGAGATCATAAACCCCTAAATAGGACATTCATGCTTGTGGCAGATTTATCCTCGAACTGGGAGTTCCCGGATTATCCGCGCCCAGATTGAAAAATATAAACGCGGGACGCACGCACGCTGAAACGTTTCCGCGAGCTCCTAAAATAAACCGTGGGAGCTACCCGGAGCAATGCAAACATATCAAACTTAAGTCTGAGACTTTAACCATCTGTTTTTCAATCTGGGGAGGCTCTTTGGCTTTGCCCGGAAGGAGTAAGATATTTAATGTGAGATACGGCAATTCGTAAACATTTTTTTGTGTTGGCAAGGACGAACAGAAATAAGCCTTTGTATTTAGTTGAACTTCGTTTGATTTCCCGATATAAGTTTTCGAAAAAATTATTAATTCTAAATGGTTAAGCTCAATTTAATGTCTTGCTTGCATAATTCCTTTAAAAGTTATTGAATGGATCGAGCTTATGCTCCCTCTAATGGGTTTAAATTTGAGGCTGGCTCAGGTGTTCCTCAGGGGTCTAATCTTGGACCCTTTATATTTTTGACACGCATTAACGGCCTCACAAGAAATAATGCATGTAATAAGGTTTTCGTTGACGACATAACAATATACTGAAAAATTGATTGATACTGGCAAAATCTTAGCTATGTTTAGTGAAACACTTAAATCAAACTTAGAAGTAAAGTGGTCAGTTATTCGCGAAAGAGCGAACCTACTAAACTAAGTCAACAGTTGTAGGTCATGTATGATAAAATAACTGAATAATTATTAAAATTTCGTAATACATCAAACTTTCAGCAAACCGCATCCTGTCTCTTGAGTACTGCTACGTAAATTAGGTATATACACAATGAAACTGTAATGAGAACACATTTTAAAGTAACCCGGCTTTAGGAAGTTTTCGAGTAGAATCGCTAAATTTCTGTATGAATTAACCAAAGTGCCTCCGCTTAATTTCCTAATCAAATGTATTCTGGCTCTAATCCCGACTTGAATTTAATTCACTGGTCCATTATTAATTAAATCGATCCGCAATTTCGGGGATTTATGGGTATATAAATACGCGACGACGCCGAAGACAGATCACTCAATACTTCCCGCGAGAACGAAGGGGTTTAGTACGTCCTTTTCATCGACAGGGAGTTCAATAACGAATGCGCCACATTTTGACAGTACTTTTTAAATAATTTCCGGGGTGGTAGCGTTTCGAGAGGCACATCCCCTCTTCATCAGAAGAAATTCTGACGCTAAGGCCACATAAAAAGTTAAAATATTCCTTAAAACTATATTTTATAACAGGAAGTTACTTATTTGTGACAAAGTATGAATTTTATCTATCAAAATACGGGACTTTCGTTACCCAGCGCCCTGTATAAATACGCGGGAAAGCCGATGACAGATCAGTCAATACATGCCGGAATGAAAAGGCTTAAAACGTCCTTTTCATCAACATATTATAAAATATTACCTGGTGACATTGACGTAGACACATCGCCGTCGAGCATTTCAAATTTATACGCCGACAGGGGGAATTTTTTATTAATGTATTACCTACGACGTGGCGCCCCGGTGTTCGCATTTACCTGCAACAAAAAAATAAAAATCAGTTTGGAAACAGGACACTTAATGTGGCGGAAAATGGCGCTGCGCTTGTAGCCGCACAATACGGATTCACTACGGCATTCGTTACAGGCGAATTTTAAAAGGTAGAAATATTTTTATCCGGGGATATTCCCGGCCCTTGCAAAAAGTCTTTTACATTCCTGCAAAACCGAACTCAAAGCCAGGAAATCCTTTCAGGGTAGACTGGTACGCAGCGCTGTACTTTTTATGCGCCGAATAAAATTGTAAATTTATTTTTTCTGCGGAAATATTCCGCTTTGCAGTTTTGAACAGGCCGTGCCTGCGGTGTCGACATTTGTTGAAAAGTTAATTGTCTCGTTAGAATTTTAACAGTTGTCATATTTTTCAAACAAAAACATCTGCTTTTAGTAGTATTACCTGTATACCTAGTAAACAAATTATAGTTCCTTTCATTGCTGAAAGGAGAATCCTTTTTCTTGATGTTTTAAAAGAAAGTCTTATTTTTGGTTTACAAGACCAATATATTTTTTAAATTATTAAAACTAATGTTATTTTATATTATTTTATCTTTAAGATTAAGTCTCTATATAGTATTTGTTCGTAAATTTCACACTTTTTCTCCGTTTAACTTTTTTTACCTTCCCTGAAATGTATCCATAGTGTTTTCGTGAATTAAAAATGGCTCCTACAAAAACAAAATACGCCTCATAGTCTTCTAATGACATTCAACATTCTTGAATATTGAAGTAATCGCCTTAGTTTACATTTCATTGCCTTAAATATACTGTACACAAATTTCATACAAGTAAGTGTCACCTATTTAACACCAGAAAGTTGTGTCTTTTCCAATTGTATAAATTCACTTTGTATATTTTTTAATATATTCGACTTTATGTCTAAACTTTCAACCATATTTCACTAATGGTAATTTTAATTGTACTAGTTTTGTCTTTTACAGAATGTGACTATTCCGTCTCTTCAATTTTGATGTGGGTAATCAATTTTCTGTACATAAAATGAAAATTGAATAAATAAATAACCTAAATACATGTAAATGTATGCAGAACAACATTTCTACAGCACTTGATATTATTAACTAGAAGTGTTCAAGCAACGCACAGGCAAATTATCCCACTCTCGAAAAAATTCTGGGTCGGTGCGAAAACTACAAGTACCCGCAAATTCGAACCGGAATTTCCGGAATGCCTGCCTACAGGTTTGCAAATTTAATTCTACCGCCCCGACGCATTCCAGCCTTCTGTGAATAACTCAGTCGTACCACAATGCAGAGCCAGTATGAATGCCTGTCTCGTCCCATTTGGAAATAAAATGGGAAATCGTCAAGTTGCTTGTAAGATTAATGCAGTTTGGAGAGGGTTTTATGTTAGGCATCGAGAGTAGATTTGAAATTTTGTCGACTTAAACCAGGCAGACGTTTCCCTTTCCCTCCCTCAGGGGCGGTTTAGGGGGTGCTTGAAGTGAAATCGTGATAAAATATTTATGGTCTGAGTTATTCAACAAAAAACCTCGAAATTGTGTTGGGCAATCGTAAAGTAAAAGTAATTGTATAAATGTATGTGTGTTGTGTGTAATTGTGTAAATGTGTAAAAAATTGTCTACCTAATTGTGTAAAAGTAGGTAATTGTGTTGTAAAATAAAAGCAATTGTGTTGGACAACAGTAAAGTAAAAGTGTTGGACAATAAAGTAACAATGTATTGAACAATCGTAAAGTAACCGTAAAGTGAAATTGAACCCTAAAGTGAAATTGAACCATAAAGTGAAATTGAACTGTAAAGTGAAATTGAACCGTAAAGTGAAGATGCAAACGTAAAGTGCAACCGTAAAGTGAAGTTGGAAAAAACAGTGTTTAACCAACGCACAAAATTCGAGTTTGTCCATTGTTTTGAAAATGTCAAAAGTAGAATCATCTTTTGTTGAATAAGAAAGACTTTATTATTTTTCATTTTATCGAAAAATGTTACTCTTGATAAAAAATGTTGCTGGTTTTTAAAGTAAGATTGGAATAGTAAAATTTAACATTTCTTGTACGGGGTGTTCAAAAAATTGAAAAAACTTTAAATGGTACAGTGCACTTATTTGTGAAGATATGGAAATAAGTTACTAGGAAAAGCTGTTCAAAAGTAAAAGACAGTCTCTAATACCAATTTTCGAAAAAATCGATCCACTTTTATTTATTTGTGATCATTAAATTTATTTTATTTTCAACAAGATGTCCAGCACATTATGTGGCAACTGTAAGACAATAATTAGACCATACATTTCCAGACCAGTGGATTGGGAGACAAGGGGAGTGGCCTCCTAGGAGTCCAGATTTGACAATAACGGATTTTTTCCTATGGGATCGACTGAATCAAATTGTTCATCGCACACCTCTAATAGATTCCAATATTGATCGATTAGAGGATGCGATTAGAGATACCGTTGCTTCAATATCTTTAGATGAGGTTAGAAGTTTTGATGAATTACTTCCGTTCAAAAACATGCGCTCAATAATTATGGTGGCAGTGTGTTTAAGTAAATAAACTTTTAAAATTTGTGAATTGTTAATTTGGAATGATTACAAATGGGTAAATAAAAGTAGGCCGATTTTTTCGAAAATTGGTATTGCAGAATGCCTTTTACTTTTGAACGACTTTTCCTAGTAACTTATGCCCACATCTTCACAAGTAAGTGCACTTTACTCTTGTACCATTTAAAGTTTTTTCAATTTTTTGAACACCCCGTACAAGAAATGTAAAATTTTTCTATTCCAATTTCACTTTAAGAACCAGCAAAATTTTTTATCAAGAGTAACTTTTTTCGATAAAATGAAAAGTCTTTTCTGTGGACATACTGTATATTCCCTTTTTACATAATTCTTTAAAAGACACACGCTGATGTTTACGCGTACGCCTTTGCCTAATGCGAAATTAATGTAAGAGGCAATTCAGCATATAAAATCCTCGCCATTTATTTACGCTTGTTTGTTATCTCCGCTTCCTTCATAATTTATATTCCGAATTCGACACTTTTTCCATCGTTCGTCCATCCGGACCGAATCAAAGCATCGGGCAGCTTAACCCTCTCTAGTTTTTGCATGTTTATTTATTTAGTCCCATCATACATATTGATTGACTGGGACTGAAGAGGGGCTTTGAAAGTAAATGGACGCGAACATGGCAAGAAGTAAGGGCTGACAGGTTATTCGTGCCAGCCATATAAACCAGGCGGTAGAAATTGGACGCAATACCGATAAAACGATGCAAATGGACCCTCCAGACCCACTTATGTCGCACAATGGTGCAATCTGAGCCTCGCAGGTTCCGTCCGTGCCGTGAAACAGGATCGGCTTTGGTGGAGGGCTTTTTCGATAAAATGGCGAAGGTGCCGGTGAACGGGATCGACTTATTCGGTGGGAAGTAAATTGTTTATTTATCTGCGTTTATTTAATTTTACTTGTTTGTTCACAGTGTAAGATACAGAGTAGGCTAGGGTACTGTTACTAAACCTCGAGCTCCTTGGTTGACTCCTAATCTAAAATTATTAATGAAACAAAGAGATAAGGCACTTCAAAAATTTAAACGTAGGTACTCGAAAGCACACTGATTGGTACAAATTGATACAGATATTTACGAAATTACTGTGTCTCTATCGCACGACAAGAAAAAAAGGGTATTTGGAATTTATTGCTTCTCAAAAAAAAATAGTAAACGGACTTGGAAAGCTCTTGACTCTCTCAATATTCTATCTTGTAAAAATTTTATTTTGCCACATATGGCTGACCCTAATGAAATTAATGACTTTTTTTGCTTCATTTTTGCGGAATATGTCTAATAGTTAATTTTTATGACAACAGTAGACGTGATATTAATCTATCTTTCAAATTATTAATGGTATCAAAACGGATGCATTTGGTGTTGATAATATATCTCCCACTATGTTAAAATACTGCAGTCCATTTATTGATCCGTATGTTACTCATATAATTAATTCCTGTATTGAGCAACAATACTTTCCTTGTTTGTGGAACCCAAAAAAAACCCAGAATCGTTTTCTGATCTTAGAATAATTAGTATATTACCTGCGCTTTCCAAAATTTTTGAAAGATTGTTATATAATCAAATTTATACTCACTTACCTCAATCGGAATGTGGCTTCAGGAAAGGGTATAGTACTTCAACTGCTCTAATTACCGTCACTGATGATTTAATAAAAGCACAGGACAGGGGACTAGTTAGTGCTTTAGTTTTATTGGACTTCTCTAAAGCTTTTGACACAATTAATCATAAGCTTCTTTGTTCTAAACAACTTAAGTACTATGGGTTTGATGAACCGACTTTAGATCTTATTAATTCTTATTTACATGGAAGATCTCAACAGGTATGTGTTAATAATATTTTATCTAATAGTTTAGAAATACTTTCTGGCGCACCCCAGGGTTCAATTTTGGGTCTCTTACTTTTTATAATGTACACTGCAATTCAGCAATGTAAAGTACAAGCTTATGATGGAGATACTCAACTATATTATCATTTTGATATTAATGATCTGGATCAAGCATGCAATATTGTCAGTTCTGAGTTACAAACTGTAAGGCAATTATCTGATGAATCAAAAACAATTTTTTTTGGTACTAAGAAAGAGGTACAAATATTAAGACTCAACTTTAACATTATAATTGATGGTATTCCAATTCCTATTACTGACAGTGTAAAAAATATGGGAATGACTCTTGACAGTAACTTACGATTCAATAAACATGTGAAAACATTACTCCAAAATTCTTATTCTTCGCTTAGATTAATTTATAGTAGTCGTCATATTCTGAATAAAAGACTTAAAATTATGTTATATGAGTCACTAGTTCTTTCCTACTTTAATTACTGTGGTTATGTCTATGGTCCATGCCTTAGTATACAAGAAAAAAATAGCATTGAAAAAGCTCAAAATTCATGTTGTCGACTTGTACATGGATTAAGAAAATTTGATCATATTTCT